ATCAAGAGATGGAAAGTGCATGTAAGATAGACAGTTTTTCAGCAACCACGGGGAACTTCAATATGCAAATTGCCTGGTGAAATTAGTTTGGTAGTGGTTCCCACGGAATGGAATATGTGGAATATCTACAAAATGGCTTTTTAGAGCTGCTTGTGGTAGGGAACAGGAATTTCTGCAATTGGCGATGTGTAATGAGGCAGACTTGAAAGGGAGCTTAAAATGAAGGAACGCCTGGGGAACAGGAACCATAATATGAAAAAAAAACACTTTACAGTTTAAGATGGAAAAGCTTAAATTTGATGTAACTATTTTATGATTAAGAAGGTGTAACAACAAAGACATGAAGGAGGAGTTGGCCAGAGATTATCTTAGGTGGAGTCTAGCAGAGAACACGATAGAGCAACAGAGGCATGAGTTTCGTTGGGGTAATTCGGGAGGCAAAACAGAAATTTATTTATAGGAAGAGAAATCACGTTGAGGGGAAGACGAGACAGCTATGGCTGACAAGAAAAATCAGGGACAGCACAAAAACAAATCAGAAAGTGCTGAATGTGAACAGTGTGATGAAGATCAGTGGAAAGCACAAGATTGTGATGCCTTTAAAAACGAGCTGAGGACAACTAAAAAAAATCAATAAGGGGAAAAGATGAAGTAAAAACAATATTGCAAGAGTTTTTTTTTTGTTTAGATATATTAAACAAATAAGAGAGATCAACAGTGGACATTGGACTACTAGAAAATGAGATGGACAGTTCAAAACGGGGAACAAAGAAATGACGGAAGAATTGAATAGGTACTTTGCATCGGTCTTAATGGTGAAAGACACCATTGGCATCACAGAACTTCAAGATAGTAAGGGCTGAAATGATTACAGTGGCCATCACCAAAATGAACGTGCTGGAGATGCTCAGATTTCTCAAGATGGATACATCACCCAGAATGGGTAGACTACATCCCGGGGGCCTGAAGGTGTCAGCATTTTTGGTGATCTTTCAGGACTTGCCGGAGTCATGGAGAGTCCCAGAGGACTGGAAAAAGGCTAATGTAACACCCTATTTAAGAAGAGTGGGAGCAAAAAGACAGAAAATTATGGGCTGGTTAACTTGACCTCAGTCATGGAAAGATTTAACAGTCCATTATTATGAATTGGGGAGTACTTGGAAGTGCATGGTAAAATAGAGCTGGATCAGCTTGATTTCCTCGCGTGGAGGCGATGCCTGAAAAATCTGTCAGAATTCATTGAGAAGGCAATGAGAAATTTAGACAAAGGAATGATATGATCAATTTGGATGTCCAGGAAACTTTTGACAAGCTGCTGAACAGGAGCTGCTAAATAAATTCAAAACCTATGGGGGCTCGGGGCAACGTACAGGCATATATACAGAACTGGCCAACTGGTAAAAGGCAGAAAGTGAGAATAAAAGGGGTGTTTTCCGGATGGAAGCCAATGAATAGTGAATTCTACAGGGGTCAGTGCTGGGCCCGCGATATACTCACGTTAAGTTTTAATAATCTGGACGAAGGAATTGATTGCATGATTGCGAAGTTTACAGGAGATGCAAAGATAAGTTGTAGGATAGGGAGTGTTGTTAAGTGTTTTTGTTGGGAGGCTGCAGAAAGATTTCAATAGGCTAGGAAATGGGAAAAGCAGTGCCAAATGGGATATAATATGTGATAATATGATGTTATGCACCTTGGTACAAAGAATAGAGGTGTACACTACTTTATAAAAAGGAAATTGCTTTTGAAATTTAATCACAAGGGTCTAATGCGTTCTAGCTCAGGATTCTCCTTAGGCTGAGATGCACATTCGCTTGTCAGTTAGGAAGGTAACTTCAATGTTAGCATTCATTTCAAGAACTGGAATACAAGAATCTTTTATAAGGCTCTGCTCAGACTGCATTTAGAATATTGTGAGCAGTTTTGGGCCCCATAAGTAAAGAAGTGTGTGTTAGTCTTGGAACGTTGCAGAGGAAGTTTACAAGAATGATCATGGGGTTGAAGTGCTTTTCATGTTGAGGATAGTGGGTCTGTAGTCAATAGACAAAAGAACAAAAACAAAGTTGCTGAAAAAGCTCAGCAGGTCTGGCAGCATCTGTGAAGGAGAAAACAGAGTTCACGTTTCGGCTCCTCAGAACGTTAAAATTTCCATAGAAGGGTCCCCAGACCCGAAACATGAACTCTACTTTCTTCTTCACAGATGCTGCCAGCCCTGCTGGGTTTTACCAGCAACTTTGGTTTTGTTCCTGATTTACAGTATCCACAGTTCTTTCGGTTTTTATTCTGTAATCAATAGAGTTGAAAAGAATGAAGTGAGATCTACCTTAAATTTACAGACTACTGAGAGACCTAGATAGTGTGAATGTGGAGAGGATCTTCCAATATTTGGAGTTCCTCGGACCCTACAGCATAGACTCAGAGTGAAGGCCCGACTTTTCAGAACTGAGATCATGAGGAATGTATTCATCCAGAGTGGGTGGTGAATATGTGGAACGCATTGTTGGAGAACGCTGTTGAGGCCAAGTCATTCAATAAGTTTAAAACAGAGATAGATAGGTTCTTGTTTAAGAAGAGGATCAAAGGTTACGGGAAGAGGAAGGAGAATGAGCTGATGAACTTTTCGGCATTCATACAATGGTGGAGCAGACTTGAAGGGCCAAAAGACTTAAGTTCTTCTTCTATAGCTAATAGTCTTATGATTTCGAAATTTTATATCAATTTCAAAATTCCTGCCCAAACAGGTTGAAATTGTGCTGTCATCAATACAAAATAGGCAGGTTTATGAGTTCATCTGGATAGGGTAGTAACTGCATAAAGAGGAACTTGACGGTTCTCAGAGTGGTTGGTCGGTCTTTTGCCGTTCCAGAACGGTGCTCAGTTGTCCACAGTTACTCCTGATCTGTGGTTGTATTTGACACCGACCACACCATGGCAAAATATCGACAGTGGGTCCAATCATCGTGGGTGCACCTAATGTGCCTCGAGAACTCTGAGTTAGCAGATGTCTGTCTTTGCAGGTGATGCCTTAGACATTCGTCTTTCCTATCTCTGTGCCCTTTTCTCCAGAAGAACCTGTCACAGTTCACCACACGCAATATCTGGAACACAAATCAAGGGATGCTGACTCGACCATTTTCCTCCTTGCCATCATCCCCATTCAGTATGGTACCGGTTTGATTTATTGTATCAAATGTTTGATTTTCAACAATTTTCTGTGTTGAATTTGTCAGCTTTGTTATTTCTGGCCTTGGACAAAGCAGAGTCAACTCACTGAGTTTTCACATTTTTCCCCTTGAAATGCAAAGATGACTACAGAAGTAATGTTGTATCTCTTTAACGTTAGACCGCTATACTTGAAGGGCGACATTCAAGACAATAATTTTGCTGAAATGGCGTCAGAGGCGTGTCCAGTTGTTGGAACAGAAGTTCAGAGCAAAACTGGAAATAACATAATAAGTGGCCTATTCCACCTATCAAATTTCTTTACCGTTCTGCTACATCATGTCTCTTCACCGACCACAATGACATTTTGCTGTGCTATTCCCAAATCGCTGAATGCCTTCTGTAAATAGACATCTATCGATTTCACAAATTAAAGTAAAATCCTGCGGGTGCTGAAAATGTGAAATTAAAGCACAGAATCGAGAGAAACTTAGAATGTCGCACATTTATTGTGAGAGAAATTGGATTAACGGTAAGAGTCCGACATGAATATATTGGGTCGTATCAGAGACGAAATGTTAACTCGGTTCTCATCTTCACAAAGGCTGTCAGAACTGCTGAGCTTCTCCAAAGTTTTCTGTTTTTATTTGTCGAGTTATGTCTTGCATGTACTTTATGATTCAGTCTCTATAACCATCTGTAATAGAGAATTTCAAAGATGTGCCACTCCCTGACTGAACAAATTTCCCCACTTTCTCACTTAATATCACCTCACCCTCATTTTGTAACTGATTTCCTGCTTCGCTATTCGCAGCAAAGCAATAATCTTTCCTACACCCGCCCTGTCGATCTCTGTGCGATTTCAAGTATCTCAAAGATGACACCTCGTATTCATCTAAATTCTAGAGTATGCTGGTCTTATCTCATGAAGAAGTCAGCCTATCTTCATTGCAGCCTCAAGGAAAGTGTATTGGAACTGTACTGGATGCCCCATGTATATATGGTTTCAACACGGCTCTGCACAGTTTTGGCACGTGAGGACTACTGCATTGGAGTCGTTTCACAATAAATGCTGAGGTACCATTTCCTTTAATTCATTTTTGCTTCCGCACGTTAGCGTTCAGTTTCTTGTTGAGAAAAACACTTCGGCCTCTTTACACAGAAGCATTTCCCCATTGCATGCGTTTGAGAAACACTTAGCATTTTTGTTTTCCCACAAAATGGATAACTTTGCCTTTCCATACTTTATTCTTCCTGTTTGTTCTTCCTCACTCATGCAACATATTTAAATCCTCGTGATATATCTTTGAATCTAGGTATTAACTCACATTTCCGCCATCAGTAAACTTGTTAATAATGAATTTGGACTCCACATACCAGTATTTTGGACAGAATGCGATTAGCTGAGGGTCAAATACTGTATCTTGAGGTACTCTGCAGTCATACCGGCAAGCTGAGTAAAAGCCATCTATTCTCAGTCTATTTCTTTTCGTCCAGTTAATTTTGAATATCCTCCAGTATTTATGTCAATCTCATGTGATCTATTTTTCTGGCATTCACTCGTTTACCATTAACTATTTTGAAACTTACATTCTCAGAAAGCTCCAGTTCGTTTGTCAAGAGTGATTTTTCTTTCAGGAATCCATGCTGATACTGTACCACGCAATTATTCTCTTCTAACTGTCCAATTCAAACCGTTGGAATTATTTCTGTCTACTTCCTCGATATGTCTGTGGCAACATTTAATTCATTGCCTCGCTTTACTTTCCCTCATATAACTGATTATCTAATCTCGGCCAACACGCCTGATAGGTAATTTAAAGAACACATTTGTTTACCATTGACTCCCTCTTTTCTAAGCAACAGTGCGAAGGCAATACATTCGAATCCACCAGCGACTCCAGAATTCTGAACTTGAATTTTCATGTGAGATGCTTCAAGAGGTAAAACACTGGAAATCAAACTTCGTTCTTCCTAGAGTCATAAAAACGTTCAAATCATTATCAAAGCATGTAATATTTCCGATTTACCTGTAGTTTAGACCAGGCTAACCGAAACCATAACCAGATGTCTGCATTTAGTGTGAATAATGATTGCTAGCAAATAAAGTAATTCTAGATGCAGGTGAACAACAATAGACTGCCGACTTATAACTCTACTACTTAGAACGCTAAAGCTCTTGTAAAACTTCCTACACACACACACACAAGAAGGCAAGCATATATAAAACAAAAATGACAGTATGTGTGGAGGAGAAAAAGGAATTCCGTTCAGTGCCCCTGTCGATAGCATTCACTAAGATGATCCTTTTGCGTGTCAGGACTTGCTGTACTTCGATTTCGATTCTCTGGGTACTTTACTTGACCCTGGAGGATGCATGAAGCATTTTGCTCACAATATGCAAAATCTCCTCATTACTGGTTAAAACGGCAACTCACATTTACTGGTAAGAGAAAATAAACTGTCTTTTTTTCAGTCTTTTGATTTATACTTACGATAGAAAGAACGAGATGGAGCAAAGTCACATACTTGCTTGTAGTGTCATCGCAATAATAAGATGATCAGCTGTCCAAGAACCAGTCTCGTGATTGTTCACTTGCCATTGGCTTTTGTCACTGAAAACTCGTCACCGTTTTACAATCCGTTCAACAACATGCCGTCAGTTGAATCTCAATTGGTACACATTCCCTGCTGCAGCCCAAATACAATTAGCTTCCCCTACTGTTTGAACAAAACAAAAGTGTAAAAGTCACTTACAATAAGTGATGGTAATCCGCTTTTATAAAATGGAACAAACAGTTCATTATCATTGCTTTTAAATCTTTCCTTTTCTCAATTTATTCCAGATTTAGAAATAAGCAAAACCTAAAAACGAGATGTCAATTTCAGTTAATCCTTTCTGTACAAATCCTAATGGAACTTTGCTTCATATGCTAATACATCTTCGAGTTGGTTACTGGAATTCCCTGTTTGGTTTAATTGGACTCGTCATTTTAAATTATCCAGTATTGCAGTGAACTACTCATTGCAGTGACATGATAAATTTGTCGTTGAAAGAGTGTCTTGGTCTTTGATCATTCTGGAGAAGGACCCTGGGTCTGAGACTGACAGGGATAACGAGTATCAAATTCAACCTCTTAGTTGCCTTCAGTAAGTCTGTACAGGATTTCATTTGAGAACATGGCGAGGTGACAACCAAAAAGTATTATTGCTGGGCTGTTAATCCAGAGACCCAGATAACGTTGTGGGACCCAAGATTGAATGCCGCCATGGCAGGTATTGGAATTTGAATTCAATAAATAGCTGTAATTAAGAATCTAATGATGACCGTGAATCCATTCCCAATTGTTGGGGAAAACCCATCTGGTTCATTAACGTCCCTTAGGGAAGGAAACTGCCATCCTAACCTGATCTGGCATACATGTGACTCGAGACCCACGGCAATGTGGTTGTTTCTTAACTGCCCTGTGGGCAATTAGGGATGGGCAATAAATGCTGACCTAGCCAGCGACACCCTCATTCTGCGAATGAATAAAGGAAACTTTGTGTAAACCAAACATTTCTAATCATTTCACAATTATGGTCAAAATTATATTCTCAATCTTTCAAGTAGATTTGTCTCAAAAAGATACCGTGTCTCAGGCTTCGTATGAAATAGTCTTGAAAACATGGCAAACTTTCAAAACGCAATGTAGCTATTTGACAACAGTAGCCTGGTATCATCTGTACTGATACGGAAACTCTCGTGACTGCCACCGAAAGTTTCTTGACGTTCTCCCGCAGCTGATCGCCTGGAGAATAGGCAGTGGCCATGGAGGAAAAGCAAAAAATATTGGGAATCGCTTCTCTTCTGAAATAAGCATATCAACAAGTCTGTCCGCTTTAATTATCAATGTTCTTCACTGAGTGATATGGCGTTGTACATTTGTGAATTCTCCCAATCTCCTCGAACCAGTGATATAAAATAATTCTTCAATGCAAAGTCACTGATGGAACACAATAAGGAAGAAACTGAGAGGGAAGAAGGGATATATTTTATTAACAAATGCTTTGATATGGTGTGAAAACTCTGCAAATAAAAACATGGTGCTGCTCTCATACAAAAGTTGGCTCTGGTCTGTTTTGACAGAGGCTGAGTTTTATTATGTTAGATTAAGGTTTAAGCACAGAATGTAGTTCCTGTCATCTGAATCATACATTTATGCAAACAAAGAAACTTCGATGTTATCTAAGAAGTCCGTGAAACACCCAAGCAATTGGTTCACTGTTCTGACTTACCCTGAAGCACAGCAATGTATTTTTTTTCATTCAGTTTCTAATTCAATAGTTTTATGTTAGGCACCTTTGATTCTGTTTCCACCATATTTTTATTTGTGGGTTGAAAAGATTTGAGGTATCCGTACCTCAGATAAACACAAGAGATTGTGCATCTTCCGCTTTGGCAGAGATGATCTTGCATTCATTTGCACAACTCGGATTAATCTTTTGTCAAATGTAACCTCCAGCATACGGCTTGTGGGATGCGGATGATAAAATTGCCCGTGGATGCCAACAGGAAAATGGTTCAGTGTGAAGTAATAACAGTCTCGCGCTTACATGATACAAGTGAAATTTCTCATTTATGACCCCAAGACTTTAACATTCCCACTTAAACTATAGCGAAGTCCATCTGTCAACCTGATGAAGGCTGTTGGTACTAGCACACAAACCTGAAGCGACTTTTTGGGCTCTTAGGTGATTGGCCAAAACAATAAGAACAATCTTAATTTGTGGCTAGTATGATTCTAGCCAGTAGATTACTTGCCTCTTTGTATCCACTGAATTTTTCTGACACACGGGAGCAAAGATTGCTTTGACTTAAGAGCAATCACCTCAACTGTGGGCAGTTCCTTTCACTTCATCTCTGAAAATTATTTCTTTTTAACACTTCTCTTAAAAAAAAAACTTCAATATAGTTTAGAACTGGCTGATTCTGGCAAGACCTTAGCGGAGAATCGATAAGCAGGTTAGAAAACAGTAAGTATCACTTCTTGGATCAAACTACAACTCATTCTGCATTGTTCTATTCAAAGATTATGCAACGAATGAATAGTATTTAGGGCAGCCTCACAAAAGAGAACACATACCAGATAGCACGAATGTTGGAGCATGCAAGATTTAGTTGAAAGGAAGAATTGAGGGAGAGCAATATTCGAAGGGAAATGATGTGAGGAGAATTGATGGGATTGAAGTCGGATAAATCACCAGGGCCTGATCATCTACATCGTAGAGGACTTAAGGAAGTGGCTGTAAAAATAGTGGATGCATTGGTGGTCATCTTCTAGGACTCTATAGACTCTGGAACAGTAGCTTCAGATTGGAGGATATCTAATACCACTCCAATATGCAAAAAGGGATGTAGAGAGAAAACGGGGAATTATAGATCAGTAAGCCTACCATCGGGAATCCATTGTTCAGGACTTTATAGGGCAGCATTTAGGGATCAGTAGCAGGATCAGAAAGAGTCAGCATGGATTTATGAAGGCTAATCATGCTTGACAAAACTCTTACAATTCTATGAAGATGTAACAGATGTTGACAATGGGGAGCCAGTCGATGTGGTATATTTGTCTTTCAGAAAGCTTCGACAAAATCGCGCATAATAGATTATTGTGCAAAACTAAACCGCAGGGGTATGGGGGAAAGGTACTGAGGTCGATAGAAATCTGGATGACAGAGAGAAAACAGAGAGTTGGAATTAATGAGTCATTGTTCAAATTGGCAGGCAGTAACTCGTGGAGTGCCCCATGGATCGGTGCTGGGACCCCAGGTATTCACAACGCTGATTTAGATGAGGGAACAAAGTGAAACGTTCCAAATTTTGCAGATGATGCAAAGTTGGGTGGGAGGGTGAACTGTGACGAGGATACAGAGATCCTTCAGCACTTTGTGGACAGGCTGGGTGAGTGGACAAATCAATGGAAGATGCGGTATAATTTGTTTAAATGTGAGGTTATTCACTTTCGAAGCAAAAAGAAGAAGGCAGAGTGCTACCTGAAAGGCTGAAAAATGGGAGGAGAGTGTACAGGGGGACTTGGGTGTCCTCGTGCAGCAGTCGTTGAAGGTAAACATGCAGGTGCAGCAGGCTGTAAAGAAGATAAATGATATGTTGGTCTTCATTGCCAGAGGATTCGAGAGCTGGAGCAGGGATGTGTTGTTGTAGTTATACAGGGCATTGATGAGGCTACACGTAGAATATTGTGCGCATTTGTGGTCTCCTTTTCTGAGGAAGGATGCTCTTGCACTCGAGGGAATGCAGCGAATGTTTACCAGGCTGATTCCGATGATGGCGAGACTGACATATGAGGAAGGATTGACTGGGTAAAGATTGCTTCTCTGGAATTCAGCCGAATGGACCAGGGGGTGGGGTGGAGGAATCTCATAGAGACATATAAAATTCTACAGGCCTAGACAGGATAGATGCAGGGAGGATGTTTCTGATTGTGGATGTATCAAGAACTAAGGGTCACAATCTGAGGATTTGGCGTAGACCATCTACGATGGAGATGAGCAGATATTTCTTCACTCAAAGAGTGGTCAGCCTGTGGAATTCATTACCACAGGAAGTAGTTGATACTAAAATATGAATGCATTCCAGAGGAGGCTAGATATAGCACTTGGGGCGAACGGGATCAAAGGTTATAGGGAGAAAGCAGGATTAGGCTCATGAGTTGGACGATCAGGCATGATCTTGATGACTCGTATAGCAGGTTATCAGGGCCGAATGGCCTCATCCTGAAGCTATCTTCCATGTTTCTGTACTTTTAGCTTCATATTTCTCTCTGTGGACAGGAGATACCTGTGAAGGATCTCTTTTTTATGTGATAGTGCCAGTGTTAGTTTTGCAGTATTACATTCGCTTGAGGAGTGTTCAGTTCTGTAGAACCGGTCTGTAGCACCTCAGTCATGGGCTAGAATTCATTCCATTCTATGCACACTGCATTTTTGTAAGTATTAGATTGACTGAATCCAAGTAACTGAACAATGACCACTGAAGTGGATTATAAAAGATCACTTTACATTTTGTTTTGGAATCTGGTTTCTGATATATGCAAAAGCATTGTATAAGTGAAGCAGTTCCCACAGAGAAAACGTAGATGACGTAGAACGGGTCTGCAGTTTCTGAAGTTTCCAGCAGTTGGCAGTTTTCTCAATAACATATGCAACAATTCTGTCGGGCTTTGCAACATAGATACCGTAAAACTATCATACTGCCTGCAAACTGTGCAAGTAAATATTATAATTTCAGGCAAAGGTTATTTGTAATGTGATAAGATAAAATGTCTTTAGTTAAAATTTTGAATCTAGAAACCTCTCTGTCAGTAAACTGTGATAACTCAATCATTAAGAAAGTCCAAGATAGAAATTCATAGACTGTGAAGAACATTTCATATCAAAAAACAGTGTAGACTGGATGAACCGAAACATGTGCTCCTGCTCTGTTTTTATTACGCTATTAAGAGGGTACCTCAAAGGGGCATGGATTCAGAATTGAAGGGATTATTGCACAAAACTCCAATAACAAACTGCCTGCCGTTTTGCATCGATCACCAATTTATTCTCGCTAAATCAGTGAAATGGAGTGAAAAAAAAACTGGCACCACTGGTTTATGTCGACTTCCAAGGATCATTCATCCTGCATCACCAGAGTTAAAGATACAGAGGCAACAAAGTACAATTCCGTGCATATTTGAAATAAAAACCTGCAGTTTTCCCAATTTATTAACTGAACAACATGGAACGTGGCTACTACTGGTTAGGCTAGCAATTGCTTCCATGAAGAAGGCGGTTGCTTGAGCTGCCTTCTTGAACTGACGATGCCCATAGGATATCCAAAGAGCTGTTAGGAGCAGAGTTTCAGAATTTCTGACCTAGGGACAGTGAAGAAACCACAAAACCATTTTAAGCCAGGATGATCTGTGACTTGGAGGAGAGATTGGATATGTTTGTCTTCATATGTATGGCTGCCTGAGCCCTTCTGATCAATGGAGTTCGCCGGAGGGGAAGATACTGTTCAAGGGGCCTCCTGAGTTATTGGAATGCATTTTGTAGTTGGAACACACTGCTCCTAATGTGTATCAGTGGTTTTTTTAGTGAATATTGAAGATAGTAGATGGGAACCACTCACTAGGATTCCTCATTTTGAACAGTGCCAATCTTCTTGAGTCCTGCTGGAGCTAGACTCATCAGCAAAGTGAAGTATGTTCCATCACCTTATTGACTTCTGCCTTGCAGATGATGGGTGGTGGACAGGCAGTGGGAGGAAAATGAATGAACTAATCGCTCCATAATTCCAAACCTCTGGCCTGCTCGAGTAGCTCTGCGTGCGCCAACTAATCCCTACTTATGGTTGCCATCCACTTTAACTCCCCGTCCCACTCCCTTGGTGACTTGTCCATCCTTGGGTTCCTCCACTATCACAGTGAGACCAATCGTAAACTGGAGGAGTAACACCTGACATTTCACCTTGGGGGCTTACAGCCCAATCTCCTGAATATTGACTTCACCAGCTTCAAAATCTATCCACCGCCAGCCTGTCCATCTTCCGACTCACCTATCAGTTCTACCCTTCCCACTGAGAAAACACAATAACCCCCTGCCTGCATCCACCTGTCTACCCCATACCTACCCTAGCCCCAACCCCACACCCCCCGTCTATTTATTTCTGGGCTCCGCTCCCCCTCCCCAGTTATGACGAACGGTTTCGGCCCAAAAAGTTGACTTTCCTGCTCCTCGGATGCTGTCTGACCTGCTGTGATTTTTCAGCTCCACAT